ATATAATTGAATTAGCAGAAACTTTTCATACAATTCAGGCTCAGATGATTTAATAAGTGAATTCTAGCAAACACTGAGGGAGAAATAACAATTTTACACAATTAACAACAAAAAAAAACCCCAACTGAGGAAGAAATATTTTCTAATATACAAAATGAAAAAAGAAAATTTTTCTTTTAATATAGATATAAATGTCCCAAGTAAGACTAAACAGTATGTATATAAGAGTATATATCTCTTTTCTATTTTCAGAACAAAGAACAAGTCCTGGTAAATTGAAGACACAAAAAACAGTTCTTTAAGACATTATATATATACACACATAGGATTAAAATATGACTAAATTACTACATTTAAGTCACATAGTTTATCTGTCCTTTTGATGTTTCACTTGGATATTTACTCAAGTTCTTTTTGAAGTTTTAGTTAGAAATGTTGAGAGAAAAGTGATTTGATATCTATCAACTTGAACTTTTTGGTAAACAGGAAAGAAAGTGAGCATGGATGGATATCAGAGTGATAGTGCACTTGAATAAACTTGTCCAATTTCTAGAAATGCTGATATGTAAACTCTTATGTTTTCACATCTATGTGTATTTATGGTTTTACCACAGACTAATTACCGCACTGACTTTTCTATATTAAGAAGTGATTTAGATGCTGCTGAAACCCATTGTCTCAATCTGGCACTTGCAGAAGAGACACCTGCAGATTAGCTGAGGATGAAATAGGTGCCTGCCGTAGAAGGTGGAAATGCTGTAAAATCTTGTGGATTCTGTCACCAGTTCCAATGCCAGTTATCCTTTCAGACTATCAAGAACCCCTCAAGCATAAAGGCAAATGAAACTAGGAGAAACATCAGAGGAAATTTCTTTGCCTCTAGGAACATCAGAATATACTTATTAAACACTGTCATTCTTTTTAAAAATTATTATTTAAATTTATTTATTTATTTATTTTTAATGTGTGTACCAACAAACCGGATATGACTGGTACAGGAGGAGATTGTCCCTCCTTCTGCAGAGCATCTGGTGGATTCAAACTGTGCACCTCTGGGATTGTAGTGCAGCTTCTTGCCAAACACTGTCACTCTTAGGAACAATTTCTATTTCCTCTTTAAATATTATTATTATTTAAGTATTAACTTCAAGTCTAAAAAAAAGAAAGAGTAAAAAAAGAGTATGTATCATGAACAAGTGCAGTTTTTCTAAGAATGTAAGGTTAGTTTGTTGCTGTTATGTCTCATCGAGTCAGACCGACCCATCGCTGACCCTCCGGTGGGTTTTCAGAGGCAGTTAATCACATGGGAGGAGACTGCCCATCCTCCTGAGGAGCAGCTGGTGGCCTCAAACCACGTGCCTTAAGGACTGCAGCGTAGTTTCTTGCCACTAGGCCACCAGAGCTCCCATAAGGCTTAACATTTTAAAACTAATGTAATTCACTGGGCAAATAGAATATAAGCTAGCAAAAGTAAGATTAGGGTTAAGTAACCACAGGGTTGCAGTTTGGTTGGTGGAGGGAGGGGGTAAGGAAATGGGAAGGATCTGAGCAAAAAGACAGGGTAATGATGGGCAAGGTCCAATGGTGATTAATTCTGTAAAACATAATGCGTGAGAATGATTGTATGAAACACAATGTGAATGAAGAATAGTGTGAAACACAATGTATACAACTTTGTAAGCAAACCAATTTTTTAAAAAAATAGGATCAGCTATTTTTGTTGAACGCTGAGGTCTTTTGGCCAAACTTTTATTAACCAATTTGACTGATGGACAATTCAGCTACATCAATATTATCTACACAAGGAAATATGACTAAAACGAAAATGCTTCTTTCCAAAGAAGCAGAAAACCATTCCTGGGATGGGAATTCAATTTAGATAATGTCAAGCATGGCAGGAATTAATGTCATCAATGTAGTGTTTTAAAAACCAAAACAAAATCACAGAAATGGATGTGCCTTAGAATAATACTCTTAATCTAACAACAACAACAAACTTAAGTAATAAAAGTATTTTTAATACAAAAAAATAATACTCTTAATCTCAGTAACAAAATAAAAAACAAAGAAAGAAAAAGAAAAAATAATACTCTTTCAGAAAAAAAGGATTACTATATAGGAACTTTGCCAACTCTCCAAGTTCTCTTATATGAGAGGAAAGATGGTGGGTGTCAGCTCTAATATTGGTATTGTCTTGGCTGTCATCTTCAAAACTGAGGTCTGATTGACTTGCTCACTTGCTGAATTCTTAAGGGCCAGGCTGTGTTTGAGGCTCTGGAAGCCCCATAGAGAATATCCCAGACCAGTCTCATAGCCACTGAGTTGACTTTGACTCAAATTGTCCTTTCATCAGGTTTCCAAGGCTATGTATCTTTATGAAAGACTTGTCTTCTTTTTCCCAAGGAGCAGCCGGTGGATTTGAACCATTGATCTTTTAGTTAGCAATTCAACATGAAACACACTGTCTCCAGAGCTACTTTTACAGCATGGAACAGAACAGAGGCCTTAGGCTTAGTGTACTTATTTCTGATGGCCTGTCAGATGAAGATAAAGGAGGGAGAGTAATAAACTAGGTAAACGGGAAGTAATTATAATTAATTATGAGATATTTTTATAAAGTAGTCAAGATCAAAAAAATATCATAGGTGAATTTTATCAAACATTTAGTGAAGTGATACTAATCTTACATAATTTTAGAAAACTAAGTGAAGTTGTCAGAAAAGGCCAGATTTAGGATCTACTTTCCAAAGTAGAGCTGAGATTGTTCTCAGTTCTATTGAATTGGGAGTGTAGGAGTGAGATCAAGGATCAAGGACAATGTCAAGGTTTCTTAATAGAGCAGGCTGGAGCTTTCATGCACTGAATTAGAGAAGGGGGTAGAAGGTATGATTGGTGGTGCGGGGTGTGTTAAGGAATCAGGGGCTTTATTCCGGTTTTTTGATATTTGAGATGCAGTTAGAGATCCAAACAGAGATTTGGAAAAGGAAGTAGCATAGAGATGAATAGATTTAAAGTATCTGTCCCAGCTAGAGACCTCGTCAGTGCATGGGGTACTTCAGGCAGGAAGCGGGGCAGTGAATGGCTAAGCCCTGGAGCTCATCCCCACTTAGAAGCCTGGAAGATAAGGAGCAACCAGCCAGGAGGACCAGGCCAGTGTGAAGAGAGGGCTGCTCTGGAATGTGTGCAAGAGGGAGGAGGAAGTGGTCAACTGAGATAAAACACTGGAGACCAAACAAGTCAGAAACGAAACATTATCCACCAGACTGCAGCCTGAGAGTGGGCCTCTGACAACTTTAAGGAAAGCAGTTTCTGGGTAGGGCTTGGGTATAATCCAACCAGCAAGTTTAGAGAGAATGGAAAGATAAGAGAGCAACAGCAAAGAGATGGAAGCAACCTAAGTGCCCATCAACAAACGAATGGATAGAAAAACCTGTGGTACATTCACACAATGAAATGTTGCACAGCACTGAGAAACAGTGAACTTGGAAAACATTACACAACATGGGGGAGCCTGAGGACATCACGCTGAGTGAAATATCTCTGTCACAAAAGGATAAATACTGAGTAACACCATTGTTAAAAAAAGAACTGACATGAGTGGTTCAGGGGAGAATAGGAAAACAGTGGATAGATCTGAACACTGCATTGGAAAAGATGAGGGGAAGAACAGCCCGAAAGGAATATATGATTAGGCATTACATGGACAACAGCAATGTGGAACAAGTGGAGCACTGCAGAGCAGAGTGGGGAAGGGAGAAAAAAGTGCAGTTAATAAATGAATAAAAAAAAAAAGAAAGGACAGTGTCCAAGATGGCGGACGAAGCCATCCGGCAGGCGGTCTCAGAGATCCTTGTCCTGAAGACTAACGCCGTACCCCGAGATCGCAAGTTATGGGTACAGTGACTAAAGAAGGAATTCCAGTTCCTTATGTGGTATGTGGAGAACAACAAAAATGCAGTCAGTGATTGGTTCCGACTGGAGTCCAACAAAGAAGGGACTCGGTGGTTTGGAAAATGCTGGTATATCCATGACCTCCTCAAATACGAGTCTGACATCGAGTTTGATATTACTGTCACATATCCCACTACTGCTCCAGAAATTGCAGTTTCTGAACTGGATGGAAAGACAGCAAAGATGTATAGGGGTGGGAAAATATGCCTGACTGATCACTTCAAGCCTTTATGAGCCAGGAATGTGCCAAAGTTTGGACTAGCTCATCTCATGGCTCTTGGGCTAGGTCCATGACTGGCAGCAGAAATCCCAGATCTGATTTAGAAAGGTGTGATCCAGCACAAAGAGAAATGCAATCAACGAAGGATCAAATCACTGAGGAAGAACAGAGGGATCTTAGAGAAATAAAGTTTCTTACTCATCTAACTGCTTCCCCTTACCCCATCCGTTCCTACTTGGAGGTGCATCAGACAATGCTCGGGGAAACCAAAATGGTATTGCTACTGAGTTTCTAACTAGGCCGCAGAAGAGAATGGAAGACTTGGACCTTCGAAAACCAAGAGGCAATTACAAGCCCCTCCCCAGGTGGAACAATGTAAGATCCTGGGGTAACAGAAAGTGGGGACATAGCTTTTTTGGTTTATGGAGATAAACATCAATAAAAGCTGTTTTCTCTGGGGGGGGAATAAAAAAGGACAGAGGGGAAGCAGCCAGGTGGTGAGGAAGGGTCTGTGCGCTGATGGAACAATCTCTGACGTGGGAGGTGTGCGTAAGAGAGGGGAGGGCTCCTGGGAGCACAGCCCACAGGCTGGCTGTAGGTCTGTCCACAGAGATGCAAAGGGCAGGAAGACCCACCGGCAGAAGTGCTGACTTTCCCAGTGATTGAACATGAGGCTTCCGCATTCCTTCACACAAAAGACAGAAGCAACTTAAGCCTGAAGAACAAAATGACAAAGCCTATCTGAGCCTTCACGGGGGTTTGGTTAGTTAGAAACTGAGTTAGAAGCTGCAGGCTATTTCTTGTTTGAAAAGATCCGAGTTCCACTTACTTGACTTTGAGAGAAACGCCCTGTGGGACGCCCACGCTAACGGCAGCCCCCAACACGCTGTGCCTGGAGATCTTCCTCTCGGCGCCGTACTCCACCACCGTCCCGAAGAAGCCCGCCCTGCAGGAGCAGACGGCAGTGAGGGGGTCTCCTCGGCTCTCCACTCTCCCATTCATCATGGGCAGCTGCCACCCAGCCAGGCAGGTTGGGATTCCATGGCTTCTTCCCAACACCCAGAGGTGGAGGAGCCTATCAGCAAGGTAGGGACACCCCTGCGGCATGGTTTCCACGCTCCTCCAGGACCAGAATTGGGAATGAAGGACATCTCCACTGCCAGCCAAGAGGAGGCCCTCAAGAAATACACAGAGACTGACAGAGGAAGGCATCTTTCCCCATCGGTGAAAGCCCTACACACTCCACATGCCGTGTGTGTCCCCAGGGGCCAGCCAGGACTTACTTCAGGGATCCTTTCACCCGAGTCTGATCGTCATCCTGGAACTTGTGCTGGTAGCTGATCAGTGCGAAGGAGTGCGGGATGCCAAGCTGAGGAGACAGAAGGCAAACTGTGTGGAGGACAGCTGTGCTTCCCCCAGGGCCGAGCCTGCATCCAGATGGTCTTTAAGGTAGGATCACAACTTGGCAGCCTCACCAGTGTGTAAAACATTGTTGTTGCTGTTGTTCAGAACAGCCAAGTCAGAATAGACCCATAGCTGACCCTCCAGCAGATTTTCAGAAGCAGTAAGTCACATAGGATTGACATGTGACTACCGCAATGGGCTCTAGTGTGTCAGGAAGTGTGAGGATGGCACAGGACAGGACAGGCTTCAGGTGTGCTCACTATGGGTTGTGCTCGACTCAACAGCACCTAACAACAACAACAAGTTACATGAGAAGAGACTGCTCATCTATATCACTCAGAGCAGCTGATGGATTTGAACCACATACTTTTTGGTTTAGCAGTGCAATTCCTTATCAGTAAACTACCAGAGCTCCCTAAAATACTGATTAGTAACCATTATTTAAATACTGGGAGATGTCACAAAAAATCCAGCTTTCTAAATTCTTATAACAGAAAATTCTGTACATTGCACTGGTTTTCCTATGAGGTAGTGGCAGGCAGGGCTAAGAGCAGCTGTTCTTCTGCTTGCCTGACCCCCCCATTTCTTTACAGCATCCGCCTGTCTCCATGACTCTGCTTTGGGGTTCCCATCCTGATCTCCAGGCCGCTCTTAGCAGATGTGATGAAGGCACATTGCATCAGGGGCCTCTGAATGCAGCCACCATGAGGGTCTGAGACGGACTGCATCCCAAACATTCAGTGAACACAAAGACCAAACCAAGTGTGCAGTCCTAGAAAATATCTCCTCAAGTGGGTGCCAGACAGACAGGGCACCCCGAGGGCTGCCCACAGCATCGGGGACCCTCACCTGCAGGGCCACAGTGAAATGGCTGGTCTTGGTGTCCCGGACGATGCTTGTGTTCATGGCAGACTGGATTCCCCATCGCCACTGCAGGTAGCCTACGGTGTTCTTGTCCAGGTTCCGAGCGAGGACAGTGGTGAGGCCGGGCCGGATTCCCCGGGATGAGAACTGCAGGGCACAGTTTGTCGTAACAAAGCTGGAGGGGTACATAGACAAAAGGTCACGGGTGACACCAGGCTCTGAGCTGCTCTCTACAGAACTGTCCTCTCAGCCAGGCTCAGGGCTCATTTGCTGTCACTTCTTTAATCCTGGGCCAGCTTCCTGCAAACAAGGCAACGGTCCATCTGCCCTCTATCCATGAGAACAAGAGGTCCCTGTGGGCCTGAACCCCTCACCGCCTCCCTGTCTGACTTCCCTACAGCTACGGCACTTGCACACTTGCTTCCTGAGACAATGGAGCCAATCCTGCTGACAGTGGAATCATCTGGAAGGGTTGAAAAAAGTTGTCTAGGGTAGTGGTACCCAAACTGTGCTGCGCACAAGAATCACTGGGTAAAAAAAAAAAAAAAAAAAAAGAATCACTGGGTAACCTACCTGACTGGCTCCCACTCCTGGATTTCATCAGTTTGGGGAGGGTGGGTAGGTGGGTTCACATTTTTAAAGTTCATCAAGAGTTTTTAATGTGTAGATAAGTTTTAAGATGCACTATGCCAGAGCCCACCCTCAGAGCTTTCCAAGTGAAGACTAAGAGACAGCAAATATTAAGATGATAAGCAAAATAGTCAATAGCACAGTTTGGTAATAAGCAATTTGAAAAGCTTGAACAGAGTGCAACAATGAATGAATGAAAACCCAAAATCTCTGTAAATTTCATTAAAACTAATAAAATTTAATTAAAAAAAAAAGCTTGAACAGCACACCAGCTCCCATGTGAAAGCATCCGAAGCTCGTTTCTAAGGGAGTGCAGCACCACCTTCTGGTTGAAAAGGGGTACTTCACTTTAATGTCATTCATCCCTTCCACTTCTGTTCAACGGTGATTCAAGCAGCTGGCTTCTGATAGATGCATTAGCTAATGAGTATAATGTTAGGCAGTGCCGCCTCTTTCCCTCCTCTTTAGGTTCTGGAGGCAATGCTTTTAGTATATATACTGTTGATTGCTGTCAAGTCAAGCACCACTCAAAGTAACCCTATGAACAAAAGACCTGGAGCCTTTCTATTACTGTAGTTTCTCAAAGTTCATATACATACATATATACACATATACACATACACCCACATATAGTCATTATGATACCTTTAATCACAGTGAATCTCCTTACTCTCCACAGGCCCCACACCAATTTCTCTAGTAACTGCTACAGAGACAAGAGCGTCGGTGTGCAGGGCAAAATTTAAAAGACCCAAAACCTAAAGAATGCACTCCTTTTATCACAGAGTTAAGATTGAGATTTTTTAAACGCAGCACTCACCAAGAGGGAGAAACCAGGCCTCAGGTGGGGAGATGAGCACGGGTCGGCAGACTGAGGTAACACTGTCTGCATGAACCGTGGTGCCAGGCCACCTGCCATCCCAGAAGTGACCCCACATTCAACGAGTCACCTAGCACTCGTGAGCCTGCACATCCATCACCTGACTGTAGAGCCAGGGGGCCCTGGGTGGCAGGCTCAACTTGACTGGCCACTACATGTTATTAAACTGGATACTGATTTACAAGGGAACTCTGGTGGACCAGTGGTATGGGGCTGTGCTGCCAGCCCAAAGGTACATGGTTCAAATCCACCAGTTGCTCCAAGGAGAATGATGGGCAATCTCCTCCTGTGCGACTTACTTACTGCCTCTGAAAGCTCACCGGAGGGGCAGCGATGTGTCGGTTCTGATTTGATGGTATATAACAATTTGTTTAGAAGTCCTGTAGCTTGTTTATAAATTTGTATTCTCAAGTTTGATAATGACAAGTTCAGCTTCCATGCCTGCAAAAGCCAATGGCCATATTTCTTTCTGTCCTTTTCTGCTGACAACATGCTGTAAGGTTTGGGCTCATCTCTGTCTTTCCAGGGGTCCTTTACCCCTTTCCCGTTTCTCTCTTTTTCACTTTAACTCTTTTGCATGGCCTACCTTACATTAGCTATGCCTCTTAAACATTTATTCACTTGTTTTGCTAAAAACAAAACAAAAAAGAACACAACAAAAACAAAAAAAGAAAAAAGAAAAAGCTTTCAATGGCCAGCCTGAGACCCATGGTGACCACATGAGTGTCTGCTTAACGCACCCTATTTTAGCAGTCACTTGTGGGTGCTTGATAACCCTATTCTGGATCCGAGGTCTCTAACTCACAGGCTTGATTCAGGTGTGGGGACCTGTTTTGTTAGCACCAGATGTGACATGTCTAAGCAGGCAAGATTAGAAAATACTGCTTTATATAGATTATCACCTCAAGTTTTTGTTAGAAGTTTAAATATCTGTCTCTTTCCCCACCCACTTTAGACAGGCCCTCTGAGGAAGGCCCTGGAAGTTACATCCCAGCAGGGCCCAGGTGGTCACTGACACCAGGGACACCTAGTGCACTGGCCCATCTTGTGTCCTCTGTTGGGAAGAACCTTGAGAAGTTAGTCTCCCCTTGTCCTTGAGGAGATTCCCAAATAGGCATCCTGGTCCGCCTGCACTCATGACAAGGTCGCCTCATACAGACCACACCGTGGTTTAGTTTCCCTTCATGCCTATGGTTAGACCTATGGGCATGAAGAACACGGGTGGTAGGGAAAGAATCTTCTTCAGACATGTATAACATGTATAACTTCAAGATTCCATTAGCTACATCTCCCCCACACAACTTGGAGAAAGAGGTTTTATTTTACCTTTCACCTGATTCTTTTATCTGAGGTCACAAAGATTGCCACTCCCAATTGGGGAACAAGGTTGCTTCTATATTCTAGAAGGGTCAGTGGTACACAGTTCTGGGAATGTGTCATCACCGAGGGAGTGAAGATGGAGGGACTAAGGCTGGTGGGGTTTAGAGCCCCAGCTCACCGATCATCATCGATAAAAAGTTGCCTCATGTGTAAAGAAAGCCCCCTTTCAAGAACGTAAAACACTGTCTGGACAAAGAAATGATTTACAAGTAAATTATTATCTGAGCATCGCTGACCAACTTCCCCATGAAGGCACTTCTCCCCATAAGCTAGTGGTCCTCCTGGCCCCCGGGAGACACAAGCAGGACAGCAGAGTGTCAGTCTCACAACTAGTAAACTGGCTGGACTGCAGGTCCTTTCCCACCCTTGTGGCCACCTTCCCACGCCCCGGCTTCTCATTAGCACACATGTGCTCTCGGTGTGTGGAGGGACCTCATACTGCCACTAAAGTCACCCGTTTCCATGTCTGGCTTACTCCCATATTTACCATCTAGGCGTGAGATTACGGAAGATCTTCAAACCAAATAAAGGCCCCTGTAGGTCTCCAGCTCCAAATTCTAACTGTTTGGGGGGAAAAAAAAAGTATTAATGGGATTTCTGGCTTCTAGCAGCAACCCAGGTATCAGGTCTGTCCCTCTCTGGTTATAATTCTTGGTTTCATTCATGCTTTTGGTCTTGCCAGACTCTAAAGGTAGGGAGAGGAGAAGGATTCCATTTATCATTCTAACTTTTGCCCACAAAGGGTTGCTGCTTTTACAGGTGCAAAGGTGGCCCAGGTTTCAGAAAGGAGGCCCTCCCATTAACAAATGAATAGATAGAAGAACTACGGTATATTCACACAATGGAATACTACACAGCACTGAAAAACAAGGAACTCCTGAAATATTACACATGGGGGACCCTGGAAGACATAATGCTGGTGAAATAGTCACAAAAGGACAAATATTACACAAAACCACTGTTCTAAAACAGGACTGACATGAGAGTTGAACGGAAACTAAGAGAAGAGGGGCTAAAAAATGAACACTGCAATGAAACAGATGATGGAAAGAACTGTTTACAAGGAGTATCTGATTAGGCATTATCTGTATGACAAGAGTCCGTAATGAGAGATGTATAGCAACGTGAACTGGGGGAATGGTGGGGGAGAGGGAGGAAATTATGCAACAATGAATGAGTGTATTATTTTAAAAAGTGAACTGGGGAGGGGTAAGGAGGAAAATGTACAACAATGAATGAATGAATAGCCAACTTTTCTGTAAATGTTTGTTAAAAATCACAATTAAAAAAAAAAAGATGAGAAAGGAGGCCCTCCATAGAAAACAGCACTGGCTCACTTGCCTCTGGCAGCCTCAGGTAGCCACTGCTAGCTATTCAGGGCTTGGGTCAGGAGAAGAGGCTCTGGGGGCCGAGCCCCACCCCATAGGAGAGCTGCCATCTGCAAAGGGCAGAGGTGCCCAGGTGCGCCCCTGCCCTCCTATGGTGCTGGCTTCTCTGCATTTCCATTCTGCTTTGCTTCCCTGGCTGCAGGTCTCACAGGTGACTGGAGACGGCTCTCCTGGGTCTGGTGCTGAAGCCCATCAGCAGTTCTGCGTGCGCACAGCCGTGCAGTCGGCAGCCAGCTTGGCCGCCTCATTTACCAGGTTGGGTGACTTTCAAGGCAAGCTTCAATGTTAATTGATACGGCTCAATTTGCTCGGCAAAACTGGCTGCTGAATGACCATTAGCCAGTGGACCAGAGCACTGAAACTGTCCCTGGCCTTGGGGCCAAGCAGGGGAATGGGGTGGGTCCATACCCACAACCTTTTGCTTAATGAGAACAAAGATGTTGCGTTTCTCAAGGTGGGCTTTCTAGAAGTTGGGTCTCAGAGGAAATCCTGTGTTCCTCGCCTAAACTGAGATTGTCTGGCAAGCGGAGGACTTCTTGTCAGGGATGAGGCATATTTTCCTCTTGGGGTGAGTTAACTTGGATGAATGTGGCCCTCGAGTCATTTTTTGAGTTAGCTTACTTAGAGTGTAAGTGTTCAGAACCGAGTTTTCATAAGGGACGAGGACACAGTTGGGCCAGAAGACAAGCTTACCTCTCCCCAGCCCTTTGCAGAAGTGACTCGGCGGAGCGCGAAGTTAATGGAGCCTCCTCCGTTCCCGTTCTGGGTTGAGAGGTTTCCAGACAGGATGGCTGTGTCTGTAGAGGTCAAAGGTGCCTGAAAGATAATACATGTTGGTAATAAAGGAATCAAAGCCACTAGAGCTCCCACAGCAGCAGCCTCAGAAATGTATTGTCAGTACAAGGGCCCACCTGGAGGGAAGTCCGGAGTCGGGCAGTGTGCTGTTAGGTGCCGTCAAGTCGCCAGAGACTCATGGCGATCCTATGTACAATAGCTCTGAAGCCTGTCCTATCCATAGCGAGTTTTACTGTCTCCAACAGACCTAATCCCATTTCTCCAGTCACTGAGTTAATCCATCTCATCTGGGGTCTTCTCCTGAGCTGTGTTGTTACTATGTAGCGTCAAGCTGCCTGCTACTCATAGCAACCCTGTGTAAACAGCCCTAAACCCTGCTCTATCCTGTGCCAGTCTTACTGTCTCTGACACACCTACCCCCATTACCCCAGTCACTGAATCAATCTGTCTCACTGAGGGGCTTCCTCTCTTGCACAAATCAAATTTGATTCCTCCAATTACAAATCTCTCCACCCTCCCAGGTATGACATTCCTCTCCAAAGACAGGTCCCTCCTTGCAACATGTCCAAAGTATGTCAGGCGAAGCTTCAGAAACCTTGCCTCCAAGGAGCAGCCTAGTCTCACCCTCTCTAGGATGAACCTGTTTGTTCTCCTAGCAGTCATGGTATATTCAATGCTCTTCTCTAGCATCACGACTCAAAGGCATCAATTCTCCTTCTATCATCTCTAGTGACTGTCCAGCTTTCTGATGCATAGCAAATAATTCCAAGGATCATGGCCTGGATCAGGCGCACCTTAATCTCCAGGCTGACATCGTTGCTCTTCAGTACTTTCCCAGTACAATTCATCTTTTATCTTGTTTAATTTTTTTTTTAAATTTTTTTTTTTTTTGCAATTCATCTTTTGAATACATCTTGTTAGATCACCCTTCTGAACATTTCAGTTCTCAGTATCTGAGACACTGAACATTGCATAAATCAAACGTCTGGGGCAATCCTATCTTCCAGCAATTTACTGGTGCTGTTTTTCCAACAGCCCGGGCTCATTTACTCGTGTGTCACATTTTGGTACTTCTTGCAATATTTCAAGCCTTTTCAAAATTTTGCTGTACATTTAACAGTATATGTATTTATACTGATTGCCCCCAGGTCGAAACCAAACCAACTCATGGCTGGTTCTCCAAGTGGGTTTCTGAGGTTGCCCATCTTTCTTTCTCACTGGTGGACACCAACTGCCAGAGATGTGGTCTCTGGGTTAGTCCTTAAGGACTATGCTTCCTTAATGGTCTACAGTATAGCGTAAACATATATTTTTTTCTTGTTGTGTACCACTGAATCGGGTACTGGCACAGGAGGAAATTGCCCCTCCTTCTCCAGCATAGCATCTGGTGGATTTGAACCGTACGTCCTCAGGATGTGCAGCTTCTTGCCACTACGCCACCAGATGTAAACACTATGTAAACAGAATTTTTAAATGTGCTACAAAACCAAAGTCCGCGTGACCTGCTTTATTATGACACTTACACCAACAAAAGGTGATGGTTTGGAACCGAACCTCAAGGTTCTCTAAGGTACGCTTGTAGATTCTTCTCAATTTGCTAATCTGAACTGGAAGTGGCTACTAGCCAAGGCAATATATCTTGCAAACATTTTGTGAGAAAACCTAAAAACAAAACAACGACAAAATCTACGTGGAAACCTGGGTCTGAATGCTGGGTCTGAGCTTAGTCAATGGCATCTGAGGCCTAGAGTCTCTGCCAGGTGCTTTTCTGTTGGGGACTAGCTGGGCTTCTCCTTGTTGGCCACTAGGGCGAGGCCAGGGAAAGACGAACTTCCTTTGCTGTGTTAGCCAAGTTTGGGAGCCTGGAGAGGTGAGCAAGTGTCCCAGGCTTAGGACTCCATGTTCAGGCTGATATGCCTGAGAATGAATACATGAGCTGAGAGGGAAAAGGCCTACTGTGACCCCCAGTAGAAAGGCTTGACAACCCACATCTAAATAATGGGCAAAAAGATGTCATTTAGGGGATGCCAGGGCTCAGGAAGGCAGAACTGCTATATATAGCCTTTTAGCACACAGTAGTGTGTATGCTTCAAGTTAAAACCACTTCCCAGAATCATCCCCAGAGTCCTGCCTTTCCCTCTGAAATAAATCACTGTGACCTTGTGCTTCTACTTTTCCTGGACCATTAGCACTTTCTAACTGGGGAGATCTGTGGACTCTGCGAGTTAAGTGCCCCTTTCTGCCTCCCCCTACTGATGCTGGCTAACATGTCAGAAAGCAGGAACAAACAGGCGGTGACTGTAGCTTTTTTCCCAGTTGCTAATTGCATCCTTTCATAAATAAAGATGAGGAACCCCAAGCAGGCTCTTTCATTCCAGCTGCTGGCGGGCTGTGCCTCATTAACTCAGCCCACTGTATTCAGAGGTGTTTGTGTGCTGTTACCTCAATGGACTGGGAGATGTGCATTTTGTTAATTTCAATCTGTGGAAAGCCGCTTCCAGAGACATCTTCATATTCCTCCTCATAACGATCAAAAAGGTCAGTGGCATCTACTCCAACGCTGATGGTTCCCTGGAGGTAAAAAGCAAGCAGTCAGCACGAGGCAGCAGTATTTGTACAGGGAAAGACAATACTGAGCTTAAAACACCATCACGGCTTAATTACACAAGTCATCTGACTTCATAGTTCACCAGTCTCAGGTAGGACGCTCCATGATGAAGCCATCAAGCATGAAAGTCACAGTTTGAAGCCAAGCTGCAGCGTACCAGTTTCAGACCTAGAGAGGCTTGCCTGACCCAGTCCTTTCTATGGACACATCAATGACAAAGAAAGAGGAAGGCACGAAACTCACACAATTTGACTCTCAGCGAGCCCAAGAACACATAAAGCCACCTAGAAACGAGCTACACAGATTAAATATTTTCTTCCACACACACTTACACCACATCAACACTTCTTTAAAATTTTCTATTAGTTTATTTACAAAATTTGAATACAAATTTGAACAAACTTCCTTCACCCCGCCCCACATCAACTTGTACAAGCCGATGATTAATGCCCCTCGACCCCTGCACATCCACATCCCTCTGCTTCCATCCTCTCCCACCCCTCCTGGATCCTTATATTCATTCTACAATAATGGTTTTATACAATATTTATCCTTGTGGGACTGAGTTAGTTCACTCAACATAATCCCCTCCAGTCCCTCCCAAGTTAGGTAATCATTTACAAAATCACTGCTCCTTTGTGCTGCTTAGTATTCCATTGCATGAATGTGCCATAATTTCTCAATCCATTAGTTTATGGTTGGACATTTGGAGAGGCAAGAGACCCCGAATAAGCAAAATACTTCTGAGAAATGAAAATGAGTTTAGAGGCATAACACTCCCTGACCTCAAAACCTACTACACAGCAGTAGTAACCCAAACTGCATGGTACGGTGCAATGACAGGCACACAGACCAATGGAACAGAATTGAAAATCCAGAAATAGACCCAGCTATCTATGGTCAACTGATATTTGACAAGGAAATCAAAGCCATCAAATGTGGAAACGAAAGTCTCTTCAACAAATGGTACTGGCAAAACTGGACTTCCACCTGTAGAAAGCTGAAACAGGATCCACATCTCACACCATCACACAAAAATCAACTCAAGGTGGATCAGAGACCTGGAAGTAAAGCCCCAAACCATAATGTTCATAAGAGACGAACTGGGATCAAGCTTAGAAGCTCTAGTCCAAGGTATAAAGAGAGTGCCAAATACAACAAGAAATGCACAATCTAAAGAGGATAAAATTGATGCACGGGACCTTCTAAAGATTAATATCCCTGTGCATATCAAAAACTTTTTTCAACAGGGTGAAAAGAAAACCTACAGACTGGGAACAAACATTTGGTAATACCATCTCAGACAAGAGTTTTATAACAACAGTTTACAGAATACTCCTGGGCCTCCACAAGAAAAAGAATGATAGCCCAGTTACCAATTGGGCAAAAGACAGGGAAAGAACTTTCACAGAAGAAGGCGTCTGAATGTCAAACAGACATGTGAAGAAATGCTCCAAATCACTGGTAAGAGAGATACAAATAAAAAAACACAATGAGGTACCATCTCACTCCAGTAACAGTGGCAAAGTACAAAAGAGCAGAAAGTAATAAATGTTGGAGAGGATGTGGTGAGAGAGGAACTTACACATTTCGTTGGTGGGATTGTAAAATGGTACAACCATTCTGGAAGGCAGTTTGGCACTTCCTCAAAAAGCTGAACATAGAAATTCCGTATGACCCAGCTATTTCACTACTTGGAATATATCCTGAGAATATGAGAACTAAGACACAAACAGAGATTTGTACATGTTCATAGCAGCATTATTGACCATAGCAAGAACTCAGAAACATTAACAGTTTTTAAGACTAAAAAATATCTTCAGAGATGGAGAAATGCAAACAAAAGAAAATTACGAACAAGTGAGGGATTTAAAAATTCTTCCACCTTCTAAAACTAATTTGAGAATTAAGGCATGAAAAACAGAACATCCTATTCTCTCAAGGCACAGAGAGCTAGAATTTTGCTGACCAATAAAATGCTCTTAGGATATTAATGTTTATTATTTCCTTTTCTATTCTGAAGACTTTTCAAACTGGCTTCTTAAACCAATATCTGAAATAAATGGCCACACACAATACAGCGTTTCATTACATTTTCATTTTTAAAAAGAATTTTATTGGGGTTTAATTTATCTATGATAAAGGACACTCACTTGAAGTCCTGGATAAGTTTTGATAGATGTATATACTTGTGAAATAACTTTGAAATCAAGATACAGAAATTTCTATAACCCCAAGAGTAGCTTGGGGGCTGAGTGTATCTCTCTCCCCCCTTTATCTTTAAATAACATTTTACTGTTTCTGGTGATGGTTTACATTCACTTTAGGGTCCACTCTGTAATTTCTGCACAAATTGTTTAGCGACATTGGTTTTATTCTTCATAATGAGTGATTGGCCTCATTTCCATTTTGGTTGTTCTTATAAATGTTCTTTATTATTTGTTGAGCCAATTTCCTATTTAACTACAATGTGACCTCAAGGATTGGTTCTGGCTCAAAGTTTGAATAGTATCTCAGCTCCAGGGAGTCCTCCTGTCTCCTCCAGTCCAGTCAGTCACCACTTACTCATGGCTCATAGTGGTCCTCTTGGGGGTTTCTGAGCCTATGAATCAAAATGGGAAGAGACTGCCCTTCTTTCTTCCTAGAGGCTGCTGGTATACTCAAACTGCCAGAGACACACAATCTTGAGTCAGCAGTGTAACTCGCAATGGATCATGACAACAGTGTTCCCTAGAACTCATCCAGGAAGTTAAGGGTTTCTTTTTTTCCTTTCAGGAATCTGAGGTTCTATTTTACATTCTCCTCCCATTCATTCTATCAAAGTCCATGCATGTGACTGTGATTAGAAGTGTTGGTAGTGGTATCTGAGCACCACGTCTTTTAATTTTAAATAGAGTAGTCAGGGAAGGCTGGCCTGCAGAAGAGCCAGGTGAATCAAGACCTGAAGGACAGGAGGGATAGGCTTCCCATGGCTGCGTCGGAGCGTGAAGAGGCAGGTGGAGGGTTGAGAACATGGCAGGCAAGGAACTCTGAGGGTGGGTGGACATGCAGAGTATTACAGTTAGGATCTACCTGGAATGATACTAATTGAAGCTTGTTGTCCAGGATGGCTTAGCTATTACCCTAGATTTCAACAAAATATTTTCATCAATATTACATTAAACCAAGAAGGCTTTGGGGGCTAAACTTTTACTTTGTACTTCTGTGCATCTGCATGGTCTCTTTTCAGGGCGTGGGAGACACATGTGATTAACTCTCAAAGATGACCAGTGATGATTCAGCACTCTTCTCCTATCTCTTTACGGGTGAAATATAATCTGTATCAATGTACTGGACACTCACTGATGCCTTCCGGTCTCAGTGGTTCTTCAAGGTACAGATGCTGTCACCCGCTGTCCGTCTGTTGGGTTGGGCAGTTGGCCAGGGCACTGCCACCAGGGCTTCTGTCAGCCATGTCCTGGGGAACGCTAGGAAAATGTGAGACAGGGAAGGAAGCCAGAGGGGGAAGCAGCCCCACAGTCTGAACACATGTGCCATGGTGATTTTTGTCCTCTGCTGAATGTTATAAACTAGGGTTTTGCACACACTTTTTAAATAAGGGGTCACAGTAAAAGTTGTAGGCTCCTTGGTTACAACTGCTTCTCTGTTACTACTACTCAACTCTGTTGTTACATTGTGAAAGCAGCCCAAGAAAACAGTAAAGGAGCCAGAATGGACTTGTGTCAATGACTGTCTTTATGGACACTGAAATCTGAATTTCAGATAGTACTAATAGCTAACAAAATACTCTGACCCCATTTATGGCCAGGTAAGTAATACAAAAGTCATTCCAAGCTCAGAGGCTGTATAAAAGCAGGTAATAGGCCAAATCTGGCCCATGGGTAAATCTTAAATTAATGATCTAAATCTTCTTTCAAATAATTGTTTGCTAATCACAGTCAGCCCCTCAGGCAGAAATGAGATTTAAAAATAGTATATGTTTACTGAAAACGCTAAACTTATATTTTTCCAAAAAGTTGATGATGAACTTCTAACTTGCATAAAAGGTTTCTAACACCAACCACTCACAGTTCTAACTCCAACCCCATGAAAACGAAAAAGCTCAGAGCTGCTCAAGATGCATGACCATGTCCTCCTCCAAGAGTGAGCAGTTCTTTAGAGGAGACTCTATCTCTTTAGAGAAGACTCTATTCTTGGCACCAGCAGCCAGGAAATCAAGAGATGAACTGCAATGGGGAAATCTGCTGTCAGGGACCTCTCCAGAGTGCTAAAGAGCAACAATGTCAGTCTAGAGACTAAGGTGCATCGGATCCAAGCCATGGTCTTTGCAATTACTCGCTATATATCAGAGAGCTGGAGAGTGATAGAAGATTAAAGAATTGATGCTTCTGAGTTGTGATGTTGGAGAAGAGTATTGAACATACCATGGACCGCCAAGAGAACAAGTAGGTCTGTCCTAGAGAAGGTGAAACCAAGTTGCTCCTTGGAGGTAAGGATTTTGAAGCTCCGTCTCACATATTTTGGGCATGCTGCTGGGAGAGACCAGTCCTTGCAGATGGACATCATACTTGGTTTGAAGGGTGGCAGGACAGCGCAGGAGAGGAAGACCCCGGATGAGACGGGCTGACATAGTAACTGGGATAATGAGAGCAGGTGTGTCAGAGACAGTGAGACAGGCTCAGGATACTGCAAGGTTCAGAGCTACTGTATACAGGGCTACTATGAGTCGCAGGCAATTTGATGGCACATAACAACCACCCCAGAATGAGCCTGTAGCTGCACCAAGTGTATTTGTGTATACCTCTGTGAAATATGAGTTGTTTCAACCAAATACCAATTCTTCTAAACTAATTTTGCTCATTTTCATTTCCAAAGCTTTTAGTGAACAAATGAAAGAGTAATAGCTGTTTTATGTGTTGGCTCCATTAGCAGGATTTTACAATGCTAATGATGCCTCTTTTAG